AGAGAACAAACTGATAATATTAAAGAAAAATTTTATATCGCAGCTATAAGAATAATTTATTGCTGTGTATGTTTAATTGTACTATTTCTAGAGAAGTTATCTTGTATCTGCAACTATATTTAGGCCTGATAAAATATCAAAAGTCAGAGTTGGGAAAGCGTTTTAAAATCGAGACATTCATGTGTATATACCAAACTTGCCATACGCCCCGGCTACTTAGGTAGCCGAACATACAGGGCATTTCTTTAATGTCCCCCCCTCCTTTTATTTTTTGAACGGGTCAACTCAAAAAAATTGAAATTTGGGATAAAGAAATTAATGCAAGAATATTTTATTTTGGAGTGAAATTGACAGATGAAACTTTCAAGATGGCGACTGGGCGCCATCTGGGAAAAAAAATTAAATGGAAAGGGGGTCTTGTGACACATCATTTTGAAGCTCCTGACAAATACTTCACATTCCTAGAATATGGAGTCAATGCCTTCACCTACTACAAAATGGCGGAACATTTAATAATTTCCTGAAGACAAACACATTGATATCCTTATTTTTGGAAATATTCCTTTTTATCTGCCATATGGCAATTCCAACGACCCGACAAGGTTGGTTTAGTTAACTTTTGTTCATAAAAACGACAAAAAATGTCAGTACGACAACGAACATCATTGTATGTTCAGTTAGAATATTCTCATTTAGTTTTCAGTTTTACTAGTAGAAAGGTACCACGTCAACAATCTCTAAATTGATCAATTCTCGTTCATTGGAAGAAAAAATTGAAGCGATTTTCATTCACGGTGCGACGCGTAACTTTCACGAGACCGAAATGATGTTTAATGAACGTTTTCCCAATCGTCCTATCTGTAGAAAATATTTGAGGGAACTTGTATCCAAATTCACAACTACCGGTAGTGTACATAACAAAAGCTCCCAGGTCATCCGTTCATTCCGTAAGAACAGCAAGTGCAAATAATTGGTGAGATGGTAGTAAATTCTAAACAGTCTACTTATTCCGTCGCGAATGTTTGTGAGGTGTCTCCTTCTACTGTGTGGAGACTTTGAAGAGGAACAGTTATCATCCATACAAAATTGAAATGGTACACCAATTAACACAAATGGCAAAGTTTCAATCACTTGGCTATTTTCTTAAACAAACCTTTGATTTCGAAAAAACAGAGGCAACTAAAAAAAAATGCAAATCATTTCGATAGAACTATTATCATTATTATAAATTTCAAACAACAATAATATTATAGAAAATACAAATGGGTACAAAAAATTACTTATTGATCTAAATGAGGTTGTCAAACACTTATAGCCTACATTTCAGTATGTCGTCCTCCACGTTCAATACAAATTATGGTCCTTCTACTGACATCTGTAACTGCATTTTTAATAAATCGGGGATTTATATTTGCACAGCACTCGCGAATGGTATTTTCCAGATGTTGTATGTCAGTAAATGGTCTA